TTAACCTCGTACCCAACACTGACTCAAACCGTGAACTACAGCAGGCCCCTGGTACACCACACCAGGCCCCAGTCAACTCGCTCCATCACCTCGTCGCCTAAAATCAGAGAGACACAACAGCGAAGGGTAACTCGCAGACAATGCCACTGTGGACATACACGAAAGTCGAGCTGGGCCTGATACCGAGACATTTAACTACAAGTCATAACGAGGTGCATGAGAGACTTCCATGGACCAGGTCGTATGCTCATAAGTTCACAGTTTGTGTATAAAGTATTGTTGTATGTTGAACTTAGTGACACAGGCTAACTAAAGCTCCCCGACCAAACAAAGGAGATGGATGGTCAGTAGCTAACCATCGCAACTCCACACACACGCAAAGCTACACCCAGGAGGGTGGGGGGCAACAAGCAACACATCCTTAAAAAAAATTCCTGTTCTAATTTTGGGTAACCATGACATCTCCGCCCTGGAACCTAGCCTCTACCCTTCCCCTACTCCTCACCCCATAACGCAACAACTGAACTTATGATCACCCCCAGCTCCAATCGAACACGACAAATGCAAGTGCCTGCTTGCCCACCGACACATGCACGCCACACACCAACAATACAGCACATACACCCCCGCAGTCACACAGGCTGCACCATCACTGACACCTCACATTTCCCCAGAGCTGTTGACGTCTACTGACCCACCCTCTGTGATACTCGAACCAGCATAGGTGGACGCCGATCGGCAACCTAACTGAGGCTCCAGCATTTCACCTACACCACTACATAAACATAATGCAGGATCATTGTACATAGTTACGTCCGGAAACATACACTACCCGGACGGGGGAAGCCCACGCCCCCAGACAACTCTGGCAGAGTGTAAGACCAGAGTCTTTGTTTATGCTTATATTTATTTTCTGACTGTTAACGTTGTATTTTCCTTTTGCTGAAAAGGTTCACTACAAAACATTTCCACAGACAAGGTTACACCACAAAACACGGTTACTACTGCCCACGACCCGGACAAGGGGGACCCATCCACGAAAAGAGGGAGACAGATCACACAACAAAGTAGGTGACCATACAAACCCACCACTACACCCCTAGCGTCACACCCATAAATGGCTCTAAAAATCATTTTAAATTTATAGTATTGTGTTGTTGCCTTCTAATAAATACCTTTTAATGTAGATGAACCTTGTGTAATATATATATATTAATTTGGTGATACACCACACAAGGGACTAAACACCCCGAATAAACGCAGGCTACTGCTAAGAGACCTGAAATCACGCAAAACTGACATTGCCCTTATACAAGAAACCCACACCCCTAGGACAGCGTCAATAACACTGAAAGACAGACAATTCCCCCAGACCCACGAAGCAAGAGCGTTGCACAAATGCGCTGCAGTGGCAATATTAGTACACAAAAATTGCCCACTTCAAGTAACAGGGACACAAGCCAACCCAGAGGGCCGCTATAACAGGCAACAGCACAAAAATAAGGATCATTAATGTGTACGCCCCTAATGTACCAGCCCCTACATACTGGGACAATCTCACGACAATAATCAACGCAGACGGGGGAGGGATAACATTGGTGGGGGGCGACTTTAACGCTGTACCAAGCCCGGCTATTGATAGGAGCACGAAAACAGGCTCGCCCAGGTCCCATGAGAGAGGTGCACAGGATAAACTACTGCATACATTCCTTATCAACACACAGCTCCTGGATGCCTGGAGGCTCCAGCACCCAGACACACGTGACTACACGTTCTATTCAGCGCCCCATGGCACATACTCGAGAATCGACCACATATTCCTAAACGGTGTAGGGATGTCCAAACTCATGCATACCGACATAGGCAGCATCACTTGGTCAGACCACGCGGATATATCAATTACGTTAGACAAACTCAAATACTCCACCACATGGACCTGGCGCCTTAACAAAAGCTTACTAAACAGCGACACAATATGTGAGGACACGCACACTCTCATCACAGAATATTTCACACAAAACACCACACCAGAGGTAGATCCCGCTATGGGCGGCCCACAAAGTGGTCATGAGAGGACACTTCATAAAAGCGGCAACGCATAAAAAGAAATGCAACGAGCACTAATAGAATTTCAGGTTGCCCGGAGAAAAGCAGAACAGCAGCACAAACAAAATCCCACAGCCAAAAAATTAGCAGAATTCACCGCTCTAAGACATTCAATCAGGGGGATCCTGCTCGAGGGGGTCGCACACAACATCCAGAGATCTAGGCGACTGTTCTACGAAAAGTCCAACAAAATGGACTCCCTGTTAGCCAGAGCACTGCACCGCCGCGGGGCCCACAAACCCATCACAAAAATACGCACACACACCCAGGAACTAGCAATGACTCCCCAAGACATAAACAGGGTATTCACGGAGTTCTACTCGAACATCTACGGTTAGGTCCAACACCCACAAAGCACGCCGGAACAAATACGTTCCTCACTACGTACCTTCCTTGCCAGCATAAGACTTCCTGAGATAACAGATGATGACACCACAAACCTACAAGAACCAATCTCCCATTAGAAGTAGAAACTGCTATAGCAGTCTTGAAAGGGAACAAAGCCCCAGGCCCCGACGGCTAAGAGATAGGGTATTACAAGAAATTCAAAGCGGAACTAGCCCCCCACCTCACCTCTTTATATAACCACTTTAGGACAGGCGGTGCGCCAGATGCCGACATGGCACTAGCCAACATCGCTCTCATCCCGAGAAAGACACTGAACTCACAGAAAATTACAGGCCCATCTCCCTGATCAACTCAGACCTTAAAATATATGCAAAAATCCTGGCGGCCTGGTTGGCACCAATTACATTACGGACCAGGTGGGGTTCATCCCCGGGAGACAATTATATGAAAACATGGTACATGCAGAAATCCAAAGTGCCCTCACTGGCCATCTCCTTGGATGCGGAGAAGGCCTTTAACAGGATGCAATGCATCCATACTTGTTTAGCCTACTGGAAGAGTGGGGCTTCCCAGGAGCCTACATCCAGGCCACACGTGCTCTATATACCAACCTGAGAGCCCAAACCCTAATTGCAGGGGCCACTAAGACCCCCTTTCCCCTTTTTAATGGAACAAGCCAGGGTTGCTCATTATCTCCTCTGCTATTCGCCATCTCCCTAGAACCGCTACTACAAGCCATATGCCAACACCCACACATACAGGGAATAAGTGTAGCGAGGAAAACCTTCAAAGTATCAGCGTATGCAGACGTTGTGCTGCTAACTCTCACAGACCCCCTGACCTCCATGGACCACGTGACGAGCCTCTTGGACACGTACGGAGACCTGTCGGGCTATAGGGTGAACCTCACTAAATTGATGGCACTACCATTTCACCTCCCGGCCCAAGACAGAGCACTAATATTTGACAGACACCGCCTACCCACCACTGCAGACAACACACCTTATCTAGGGGTTAAACTCACAACCCAGCACGAACACCTGCATGAGACTAACTACTCCCCATTGATTCGCACACTCCTGAGGGACCTGGAGCAGTGGACAGACAAACCCATCTCATGGCTAGGTAGACTCCACTCAGTTAAAATGAACATCCTCCCCAGATTGCTGTTCATGTTCCAGGCCCTGCCCACACCGGTTAAGAGGAGCGACCTATTCACGCTCCAAAAAGCGATTGACATGTTCATTTGGCAAAAAAAACGACCCAGAATAGCCAGGAAACTCCTGTATCGACCCCAGGACAGAGGGGGGCTGGGGCTACCGAACATGTACCAAAACTACCTGGCAGCGCAGACAGCGCAAATAGCATACTGGCACTCTGCACCAGACACCCGACGATGGGTGGAGCTTGAAACCTCACTAATGGGGTTCTATCCCTGGTTACACAAGACACACAGAGCACTCGCCAGGATAGCCTGCCCAGCAATAACGAACTCCTTAAGAATCTGGGATCAAATGGCAACCAAATACTCTTTAAGCAGGTTCCCCTCCTCAATGTCCCCCGTACTAAGGAACCGATCCTTCCCACCAGGAATGACAGCAGGTGACTTTGGCGGCCTGGAGAGAGCAGGTCTCCAGAGATATTGCCACCTATCCAAAAATGGTCAAGTAGTCACATACGATCATTTCAGGGAACAATCCCCCCTAACAACCAGGGACTTCTTCCGCTACCTCCAGATACGAGACTTTGCTAGCCCCAAAGAAGTCAAAGAGACGGCCACCCTCCCCCTTACCTGGTTCGAGAATATTTGCTACCAGGAAAAACACCCCAAAGGACTTATCTCATTACTATACTCTCACCTTAGTGGGGAGGCCAAAGAGTGGGGGAAGCTCTGATACACGGAGCAGTGGGAGGCAGACCTGGGAGAGACACTAGAGGGCTCCGACTGGCAGGACATTTAGGAGGCCACAGCTTGATCATCCATTTGTGTCACCCTCCAGGAGCAGTCATTTAAAATGCTTTTCAGGTGGTACGCAACACCAATAAAACAATTCCGCATGCAGATCACCTCCACAGATCTATGCTGGCACGGTTGCAGGGAACAAGGCACCTATGTGCATATGTGGTGGAAATGCCCCTCAGTACAGGCCTATTGGTTTCAAATCATAAACCTAAGCTCGAACATAATGCAGAGACCATTACAGTTAGACCCATGGGCCTGCCTCCTCTCCAGGCCAACAGAAGGCCTTCCACGCCCAGAGCAACAACTATTAAACATGGTTTACTTGGCGGCCCACAGGGCACTGGCACAAAAATGGCTATGCCCAGAAATGCCCCCCATTGCACTGGTCTTAGCAAAAATAAAAAAGACAACTACCTTATGGACAGGTTAACCTCTCTGGTCAGGCACACCACCAAAAAATTTGGCAGAGTATGGGAGCTGTGGGAACAGTACCAGGAGAATATGGAGGGTGGACAAGGGAACCGAACGCACACTCAGGGCTGACGATAAAAGGGCACACGACAAACCTCATCCGGGCTGCGGAAACAGACACACCAACTCACAGTATTACTGTTTATACTGTTTTTATTAATGTATCATTTTCAAATGTTCGCTATGGTACTTTTAATTATCAATTGTATATAAATACACTAATCGAAGTGACACATGAACCCACAGCAAGTCCTAATAGACAAACCATGATATACAGTCTCAGCGAACCTCAGGACGACAGATAGACCGCTGAAAAGATCAGAGGTGTTAGTAAGCATGCAGCTTGTCTTAACGTATCACTCTTCCCTTCTGTATAACTGAATCATCTGAAAACGTACTGTGGCTTCTGCATAAGCCTATACATATATGTCACATATATGCACTTCTTTTTGTGAAAAATAAAGAATTTAAAAGAAAAAAAAAGAACACTGTGGCACCATAACTACTTCAACTAATTGAAGAGATTATGGTGTCTGTAGTCTGTGGATGTTGGGTCCCACATCCATACTGAAAGCTTTATTCACTGTTTAGCAGAGATGCTCAGTCCTCCGTAGGCTGTAGCCTGGCTTCCTATGACAAAATGGTGATGACTAAACTATGCTCTGCTTCAAGCAATACTAGGGGTAGTTGGCAGTGATTGGCTGAGAGTGTCATCTGAGCACTCTCAGCCAATCACTGCCCCAATGCCTGATATGAATTGGTATGGCATGAGGTAAAAGCAATATCGTCATTGGAGGCCGAGCTTCATGCTGTGGCGGAATGCCCATTTACTAGTGATGCAAGACACAGTGACCACAGACTCCAGGCGTCATAACCACTTCAAATCATTGAAGTGATTATGGTGCCTACAGAGTTCTTTTGTAATGGAGTGGGATAAGAAAAAGGTGCAATAGCTGTGCCGAAAACCATGGTCACAAGTCATTCTTAATTATATCAAGTTGGTTAATGCACACAAACAGTTTCTTTACATCCATTTTTACCCTATGGCAAAAATAATGCCATAATTCATAGAGGAAGACTTTAAAAACCACAGAGAATTTGCTATTCAAATATTAAACAGATGCATACCTCTTATAACGTAAACTAGCTTTATGTGATGACTGACATAACCTCTTCCATTCAGCGCTTGGGTCAACCCAATCTGGCTGACTTGGTACACTAAATACACAAGCACTAGTCGAAACTGCAATTTAGTGAGTGACCTGTTATGTTAATAATAATGATAATAATAATAATTTAAAAATATATGTATAAAGCAAGCCCAACCTGTTTGTCAATGTCTGTTACGGTTTCAGGTGAAGAGATATAATTAAAGGTATGGTGATCCAATATAATATTCCAGAGAATTTGTAGATTTTGTTTCACTACTAAACTAACCATTCACATTTTAACACCTCAGATTACTAATGATGTCATTACAGCATATAATTGCATGATGGTAGTTGATGATGTTTTGTTATCACATAGGCAGTACAGGAAATGGTGCATTTATATTATAGTCTATAATATCATAGAGACTATAATATTAACTTTTGAAAGCTAAAGTTTAAAAAAACAAAACATGAATTTTGAAATTACAAGCAGTGATTTTGCAAAGAACTTTGGCGAACTTAAACATGAGGCCCCCACTAACACCCATAGTAAAAAAAAAAAATAGACTTTGCATTGTGTGTATATGAAGCTGTTATATAGAAGGGTGGGCTTTTCAGCGGTAGATACAGAGAGTATTGCTGGGTTGCTGGGTTCGGCAGAACTTCGGCAAAAGGTTCGAGTATCGGGACTCGAACTTGACCCCGAACCCCATTGAAGTCAATGGGGACCTGAACTTTTGGGCACCTAAATGGCTCTTAAAAAGTCCTGGAAAGGGCTAGAGGGCTGCAAAAGGAAGTAAAATGTATTGCCTAAGTACCAATATACTTACCCAGTGGAAGAAGAAGAATGTTACACTGTATACAATTTTAAATAAAAAGTATACAAACATAACCAGGATTCAGCTGTAAGCAATTGCAGCACTTACAACAATCAAGTAACATACATTCATATAAAATTTAATTTACTTGGCCAGTCAATGTAATGACAGGAATGAATAAGTAGATAACTCCCTAATTCCCACGGTATTAGAGAGCTATCTACTAAAAGCTGAAAGACCTGAATTGGTCTTTCAGCCAAATTTACTAATACTAAGTAAAGATTACTTAGTATTAGTAGATTATGCCCCTACTCGCTATACCGCGAGTAGGGGTATGTCTATTAAACAGTGAGCTTGCTGCTTACTGTTAAAAAAAAAAAAAAAAGGTTCCCCCCCTCCTGAGCTCCCACCCCTGAATGGCAGGTGGGGGCCCTAAAGTAAAATAAGGACCTATTTTCCTCCCCCCAGCCCCCACCCGGCCCACACCCATGAGCTGTGGGTGGGGGCCCTAAATTCAAATAAAGGGGTGGGACCTATTGTCCTCCCACCCGACCCCCACCCCTGAGCGGCGGGTGGTGGCCCTAAATAAAAAAATAACCCACACTCCCCCAGGTGACTAGATGTCCCCAAACCCCTAGTAACACCCCTCCCCCACAAAAATAACCCCTACGCCCCTCACCCTAAAAATAATGAGGGGGGACCATTAGCTAAGTACCTGTAAAAAAATTTAAATAAATAAAACCTACCATTTGATGCTTTCTTTCTTCTAAAATCTTATTTTTTCAGCCCCAAAAAAGGCCAAATAAAAATCCATAATAGCCGACGCAAAAAAACGAGCGCAAAAAAAAAAGAAATCCATCTTCACCCACGGAAGGCTCCGCTCAGACTGAGCTCTGCAGGGAGGGGGAAGGCTTATAAAGCCTTGCCCCACCCTGCAATTAGGCTCAGAGCACTCTGATTGGTGGGTTTAAGTCATCCAATCAGAGTGCTCTCATAGGTAAATGAAGAGACTGACAGGTAAGTCTCTACATTTACCTGTCACAGCACTCTGATTGGTTGGCTTGAAATCCACCAATCAGAGTGTTCTGTGTCATTTTACACAGTGTGGGAAAGTTCTTTGGAATTTTCCCACGCTGTGAAATTTGACTCATAACACTCTTAATCCACCAATCAGAGTGTTATGAGTCAAATTACACAGCGTCAGAGCACTCTGATTGGATTGCTTAAACCCACCAATCAGAGTGCTCTGAGCCTAATTGCAGGGCGGGGGATGGCTTCATAAGAAGTATTAACAAGTAAGGTACCATATCTTTGTAAAGTCTGCTCCAGCAGAGCTATACGTAATAATTTGGGGGCTCAGTCTGCACGGAGCCCTTCATGGGTGAAGATGGATTATTTTTTTGTGCTTTTTTTTTTAAGTGCATCGATTATTATAGATTTTTATTTGGCCTTTTTTGGGGCTGAAAAAAGAACATTTTAGAAGAAAGAAAACATCAAATGGTAAGTTTTATTTTATTTTTTTTACAGGTACTTAGCTAATGGTCCCCCCTCATTATTTTTAGGATGAGGGGGGTAGGTAGGGGTTAAATTTTTTGGGGAGGGGGGTGACTAAGGGTTTGGGGTCCTCTAGTCACCTGGGGGAGGGGTTTAAATTTGATTTAGGGCCCCCACCCGCCGCTCAGCGGGGGAGGATAGTAGGTCCCCCCCTCATTGTTATGTAGGGCCCCCACCCGCCGCACAGGGGTGGGGGCTGGAAGGGGACAGTAGGTGTCCCCCCGTCATTCTTATTTAGGGCCCCAACCCACCGCTCAGGGGTGGGGGCCAGGGGGAGGACAGTATGCCCTCCCTCATTGTTATTTAGGGCCCTCACCCACCGCGCAAGGGTGGTGGCCGCGGGGGAGGACAGTAGGTCCCACCCTCTCATTGTTATTTAGAGCCCCCATCCACCTCGCAGGGGTGGGGGCGGGGGGGAGGACAGTAGGTCCCCCCCATTGTTATTTAGGGCCCCCACCCGCCGCTCAGGTGTGGGGGCCGGGGTGAGGACAATAGGTCCCCCCTTATTTTACTTTAGGGCCCTCATCCGCATTTCCTGGTGCCAGAGGACCAAGATTCCCCAAAAAGGTCCTTAGCCACTTGCGATAGGCCCAGGACCGACCAGGATCCTTGGAAATAGTCCAGGCCAGTAGAACAAGCTTCTGTTCCAGGATGATGGGATGAAGTTCTCCTCTCGGTTCCATCAGAAGTAGAGGGAAGGATGGGAGAAGAAGTGGGTGATCTTTGGACAACTCCAATAGGTCTGGGAACCATACTTGACCCTGCCAGAGAGGTGCTATGAGGAGGAGTGAAGCTTTGTGGATTTGTATGTGGCAGAGTACTCTTGCCAGCATGGAGAATGGAGGGAATGCATACGCTCCATGTGTCGACCATGGTTGAAGAAACACGTCCAGAGCCATGCAGTTCAGATCTGGGAGCCAGCTGTAGTAGTTCAGTAGCTGGCGATTGGTCCCGGAGGCAAACAAGTCCAGGTGAAGTGGGTACCTGAGGTGATCTGGCTCTGCCTAGGCAATTTATATATTGCACTGCAGAGACATTGTTCATGCGGAGTAGAATGCAGCAGTTTGACATGTGTTTGGCCAGACTGCGAATTGCGAAGGACTTTCATGTGTAGGAGCCACCAGTTGAGCTCTGTCCTCACGTCTGCTGAAAGTGGTATCCAGTGGATTGTCTGGAACGTAGGCTGTTCGCTTTCAGGCATTGCCTCGCACTGTAGTGTAGTGGTCCCGGAAATATTGCCTGAATTGAGGACAACAGAAGATCCACTAGATGGGCGAGCATCCTGAGGAGAATTGTGTCCATACGAAGAACCCATGTGATCTCTTTCATGTATTCTTTGAAGCTGAAAGGCACAGTACATAGTTCACCGTGTCGATTTCAAAACCGAGGAACTGGGCAGTCTACGAGGGAGAGAGTACCAGCTTGTGTCAGTTCACAACGAAACCCAAGGATTCCAGAAAATGAACGACAAATTTTGTTTGCAATTGTAGCTTGGACGCGGATTCGCAGAAAAGGTACACGAGAAACCGCATGCCTTTGGATCCAATGTGAGCCATCACCTGTTTCTGTAGCTTCTTGAAACACCACACATCCGAACTGAGACCGAAGGGCAGTCAAGTGAACTGGCATGCTCATCATCTCCACAGGAAACGGAGAAAGCGTCGACACTCCCAAATGACAAGTACGCGTCTTTCAGATCCAGTCGGGTAAACCAGTCGTTTTCAAGGAGGAGGTCCTGAAGGGGATGTATCCCTTCCATTTTGAAATGTCTGTAAACTACGTATTTTTGGTAAACTA